TACCGCAGTAGAGAAGTAAACCTAAACAATCAAATATTGACTTGAACCTACTTGCAAATCACATTCACCACCCTGGTCACAGATAGGACAATCCAAAGGATGATTGACTAATAAGAACTCCATCACACCCTCACGAGCCTTGCGTGTTACCGGCGAATCGGTTTTGATTCTCATACCAGGCATGACGGGCATAGCGCAACTTGCAACCGGTTTCAGTGATTTCTCTACTTCCACAAGGCACATACGACAATTACCAGCGATTGATAACCGTTCGTGATAGCAAAACCTGTTGAGCAAATTAGATATATAACCAAATATGGGAAAGGTATACTCACCGTGGGATCTCAACCCCACCCAAAGCACAGGCCTGAAGCACAGTGATGCCTGGATCACATAACACAGGCTTCCCATCGACAAAAACTTCAATCTGTTTCGGGCTTGGTGGTGCCGGTGGAGGTGCCACATTCTTGGACGCAGCTGACCCAGTCGCAGGAGACGCCGCGGGACTGGCGGCTTGGAGTGGTCCCTTTTGGGTGGATGCTTTCGCCGCAAGTATAGCTGTATTAAAGAATAGACAAAGAATGTCGATGGATTTGCCTTCATTGATTTTAAAAATACTGCGTTACCTCGTCCACCTTAGATGAGGATATAAGGGATAAAGAGAATGGATAAAATAGGTAGAGTTAAAAACTACGTTGGACAACTTGACAATTCAGGCTATTTTAGCGGTACTAAGTGTCTAGAGTGTGATTGGGCTGATGAGTCATGAGCATCTAACTTGCCTAGGGGACATGGGAAACCCAGATTCTAAACCTCTCAAGACGATGTTGCAGGAAATCTTATTCGCGATGGTCACTGAACTAATTGGGCGATAGAGCATACAGGGCGCCAGGATAAGCGAAACGCGTCGCAAAGGTGGCTCAAGAATGGGAAGCTATATAAGCTATCTACGCGGCATTGCTTGAACATAGGGAGGAAAGTAAACAGCAATGCTGAGATATGCGCAGTTTTAGATACTCGTGGTTGCCCACTCAGTTCAGTTTCAGTTTCCTTAAGACAACCATTAGGCATGCACTTCCGTGCGTCGCTTTTGGCTGCCCATTTCACTCAGTGTATCTAACCATGGGATACAACCATCCCGAGGTCCCCAACCAGGAAGCCTACCAGGACCTATGTGACCCAGACTCCTGGTTAGGGTTTTCATACTCTCGTGTCAGGTCTTAGCTTGACTCCATGGGCTTTATCTATCTACTACCTGCCTCGCAAACATCGCTGGTTGTGGAAACCTATTTGGTGACATGCGTAACACATGCCCCAGTCAGTGTGATCTATGGAGGTCGGCCACTTGTTCCAAAGGGGGACCACAGTCGTCTAAAACTCTGCGCCTGACCTCAGCATTGCTCGCCCGGCTGCCCTTACCCGATTCGTGCAATGCGACGTAGACAGCGGTGTTCGAACATCGATAATCTGTTTTTATCCTGTTCCCCTAATGGCCGAGTCTCTGCACCGAAAAGAAGCAGGATTGGCCGAACTGCTGTGGCATATACTCAATCCTTCACAGACAGCCGGATTTCGCGACGGTGCCACAG